GTACAGGGTGAGAAAAGAACCGGGACCCCGAAATATTTCGGAAAATATACTTTTCATGAAACATTTGTCCATAAAAATTATATTTTTCGAAATATTTCGGGGTCCCGGTTTTGTTTCCTCACCCTGTATAGTGATCTTTTAATAAAACATAAAACCAAAAACAACTCATAACGCATTTGCTAATAAATCAATCTGTTAATTATAACAGTTCAATTATGTATTCGTTAAAACGCATTGAAATGTTTTTATCGTGTGTTAGTGTTTTCTATTGTGTAATAAAAATTACATTAACTTAAGTAGCAAAACATGCTTTGATTACTTTCTTTATTATAAAAATTAAATAAAAGATATTTATAGAGAGTGATGATTTGATGTAACATAATATATGTATATAATAAAACATTTTATATTAAAATTAAATCTTTCTAGGTACATAAAAATAATCAAACCTTGCCAATATGTTTTCCGGTGGCCATATATCTAAAGGCAGCTTCTATCTCATCTCTTTCAAAGACTTTTCTACACAGAGGTTTAATAGCGCCCTTTTCTAGACCTTCTTTCACTGCGTTAATCAACGATACCTTATGCTTTAATTTTGAAAAAAATATATTATCCAGTAAAATACCGTAGAAACTAATATTTTTGGAGAAGGCAAATATATCCAAGGGATTATTAGAAACCATATCAAATTTTCCGACTTCTAGAAAACGACCACCGTTAGCTAAGCAGCGAACAGATGCTTGCAATTTTTCTTCAATTAAGGAATTCAGTACGATATCCACCCCACGACCTCTTGTACACTTCATAACCATTTGCTCAAAGCTTGTATCTCGAGAATTTCCGATATGATCCTCGGGAATAGAAGGGAATGTTTCTCTTAAAAATTGTCGCTTCTCGTCATTCCCGACAGTCGTAAACACTTCGCAACCTTCGTAAAGCGCAAGATGGATCGCAGCTTGACCGATGCCTCCGGTACCAGAATGAATCAATATTTTGTCTTCTTTTTTCATTTTACCTTTCATGTGCAAGGCACAATAGCATGTGCTGTATACACACGGAATTGTTGCTGCTTCTTCCATTGTCCATGTATCAGGTACGATCCAACTGATATCATTTTTAGGTACGAAAACATTTGTTATTCCTCTAAAAAAACAATTTTTAAAAGTGTAATTGTAATATACAATTTGTAATATACAATTTGCATATTTGTCACGTAAAATTTATATTGTTAAAAGTATTTGTATAAGTATGAAATGTAGTTTTTTACATTTTTTCATTATTAAAAATATTTTTAACTTAAAATTTAATCTATTAAAATTAAAATTAAATTGAATATTAAGTTGATACTAATTCTATAAGTTTTTTTTTCGTTGAGAGTACTGTTAGAAATAATCATCATTTTACCCATATGAGCATAATCCCATTACTCTCTGTCCATGTGCATTAATACCAGCATATTCTATGCCAATGAAACAATCATTACCACTTTCAACTTTTTCAATTGATTCAGCTGTAAGTCTACCAGTAGCCATCATAATATCTTTAAAATTAAGCGGTGAATACATTACATTAACGAAATCACCGCATTTGTTACCAAAAGGTAGTTTGCTCTCTATCCAGCTAAGAGTACTCAGATCACCTCGTACCTGTTATAAATCAATATGAATATTT